GCTCCCCCGTTAGTTTCCAGGTTGTGAGCACATTCATACTTAAGACTTTTCTCTTTGTGTTTTAAGGGTCTGTCTCTGTAGTAAACTGAAATGTTAACAGAAATGCAGCTGGGCCCCTCCTAGCGTGGGGCGGGAGGTGGGCCTCTCGGTGGGTGGGGCTAGAAGGTGGCCTTGGAGTGTCCGAAGATGCAGATGGGGAAGTGCTTCACGTGCGAGGACCACTGCGCGGCCAGCTGGAAGAACTTGACGTCGCTGCACTCCACCCCGTCGATGAGGACTGTGGGAGAGGGCTGCCTGACCGCCTGCCCACCTGCCCACCCTGTCCACCTGCCTGCCTGGCCCACCAGGCTGGGTAGCAGCCAGGGGTACAGGATGAGAAGGAGCCCCATGCTGGAGGGCACCAACACTTTCCTCAGGGACTCGGGGGCTCCAGGGTCACGCTGGCTCCTGAGGGACGCCGTTCCTGCCCCTGCCCTTCCACACCTCAGAGCCCTGGGGGTGAGGAGGGCAGTACTTCCCCCAGGGCTGCCTGCAGGTGGGAGGAACAGACCCCACCGCCTCCTGCCAGGCGCTGCTTGTCCACATCCATCTCCACCTGCACAGGTGGGGAGAAGACACTGGGAGCCCCCTTAAAACAGAGACCCCTGTCGGGAGACAGGGCCATGCTGACCTGGAGGTCATCTGACCCGTGCTCAAAAAGAGGAAGGCCTCCTAGAGCTGTTTCTGAAACAGGTACTTGCAGAGTAACTCCAAAATGCTTTTAAATTACAAGTCACTATTTTTAGGCTGGGTGTGGTGGCTCACACCTGTAATCCCAGCACTTTGGGAGGCAGAGGCAGGCGGATCACCTGAGGTCAGGAGTTCAAGACCTGCCTGGCCAACACGGTGAAACCTCATCTCTACTAAAAATACAAAAAATTAGTCGGGTGCAGTGGCGTGCACCTGTACTCCCAGCTATTTGGGGGGCTCAGGCAGGAGAATTGCTTGAACCTAGGAGGCGGAGAGTGCAGTGAGCCAAGATTGCACCATTGCACTCCAGCCTGGGTAACGAGCAAAACTCCGTCTCAAAAAAAAAAAAAACCAAAAAAAAAGTCATTATTTTTAAAAAGCAAAAAGGGTTGAAAAATTCTTTCTCAGCATTTGGAAAGCTGTCATCTTCACCGAGGGCTTCACGGAATGTGCGTGTCACAGCAAGACGCCGCAGCTCCTATGGTGGACTCCAAAGCAGCCCTGCTATGCTCTCGCCTACGTCCCACTTTACAGACCCCGGGGCCCATGGCGCTCACCCCGCAGCATGTTCTGCTGCTGCCTGGCAGTGCAGATGAGCCGGCTGATGCCCTCGATGCACTGGCTCTTGGACTCCACATCTTTGTCCTTCGCTTTCTTGGGCAGAAACATCACTGGAAGGAGAAAAGAGGCCCTGCTGTCATATTGCTGCTCCTTCAGGGCCAGGGGGGGTACGTGTGGGGGAGGCACTGGGGGCTCAGCTGGTCACGGCCCCACTCACCTAGGAAACCTGCCTTCCACGGTGACCGAGGAGCTTTTGCTCTCCTGCCCGCCCAGCTGGCCTCTGCCTGGGCCCTGGTCAAAGCCGCCTGACCCTCAATTGCCTTCAGGGTTTTAGGCTCCCTCACCCACCCCCCCTTGCCTGCGCCACGTGGGCTGCCCGAGGCCAGCCAGGAGGCTGCCATCCCTGGTGACTGCGAGCTGCCCGCTCCCGCCGGAGCCGCCCTTCTTGTGCCATGTGGGCCGTATAGCCTGTCCCACCTCACCCTTCTTGTTCTTCTCCTTGGTGACCACGGTCATGGACCATGGGGCGTGGGCCGCAGCCTCGCCGCGGCTGGGCAGCCTGCCTGCCCTGGAGGGACCCGGAAAGTGCACTTGAGCGTGTTTTTTGGTGACAGGGCAGGTCCTTCTTCTCGCGTCCCTCTTCCTGTCCGCGGGCTGTGCTGCTGGTCCAGTAGTCCACCTGCAGCCCCATCAGCTCGGCGCCGACACCCTGGCTGGGAAAGGCAGAGGGAGGTGCTCACACCTGCATCCTTCGCCTAGTGATGGGGACATCACTGTCCCTGACAGGCCAGGGAGGTGACAGCCAGCACCTGTGGCCAACTTGCCAGCAGAGGAGGGTGCTTGGAGCATGCTCTGTGGAGCTGTTCACATTGCCCAGTCACCCCCAGAAGGGTCCTGCATAAATCACAGGGAGCCATCCTGTGTAGATTACAGGAGCCTGGCAACAGGAGAGCCCCGGCCTGGGGGCCCGTCCACTCCACTCTCCTTGGCGGCAGGAGAGCCCCGGACTGGGGGCCTGTCCACCCACTCTCCAAGCTGTCCCTTGGAGTCTTGGGCCTATGTTGAACCAGCTCCCTCAGGCGCAGCCTGGAAGGAAGCCAGCGTGTTTGGAAACACAGGGCAGGGCGTCGGGGTCTGCTGGTGGTGAGCCCTGCATGCAGCACTAGCCCATGCCTGGCCTTTGGGGCCTACACCCTCTATGGCTTTAGTTACACTTGAGTAAGGTCTGCTTCAGAGAGACCCACGCGGGCTGGTGGGGCCTCAGCACAGCTGTCAAGCCGACCCCATGAGGACCGCCTAGAGACTCTCGTCTCTTGCGCCTTCTGCCCTCAGCTGTTTTTAAAGCCCCATGTGTGCAGAGCTGAGAGACAGCCCAGCACAAACGCCCATGTTTATTCACTGTGTGGGAGTTTCTGTCCCTAGAGGTCCTGCCCCAACCCCTGATCTGTGGCAGGAGGTGGCCAGAGAGGCCCCAGCCCGTCCTGCAGAGCCCCTCCATCTGCGTGGCCGACAGGCCAGGTGCCCTGGGAGGTGGATGTGACATGGGGAGGATGACTGAATCAGGCAGCACGTGGGGGGGCGGGCAAGTGAACGTGCTGAGCTGCGCGGTGCCTTTACCTGGGGGAGGACAGGCCTCCGCTCACCGACGGGGAGGAGGGCGGGGTGGGTGAGGCCTCCTTGGCCGCAGGAGATGTGGACGGCGGGGTGGAGGAGAGCGCGCCAGAGCCTGAGGGGGCTGCATCGTCCGAGTCGCCTTTGGGGAGGAGTCATAGGGCAGGCTGAGCCCACCTGTTGCTCTGCCCAGGTGGCACCAGGCCCTCTGGAGCAGGATGTGGCCAGAAGGCCAGGCAGACCCTAGGGGTGGGCAGGGCGGGAGTCCCCAGTGGCCTGTGTGAGACGGAGGGTCTCAGATTCTCCCTCCGTTTTTGGAAGACGGCCCTGCCAGCCTTGATGTGGGGCTTCATGACAGCAGTCCCCGGAGGATGAACCCCCCACAGAGCAGAAGCACCACAGCAAGACTGGAACGCGGCAGCTCTCAGGCCCTGAAGGGTTGGTCTGGTCTGCAGGACCAGAGTGACTGTGCTCCCGCGGCCCACCCACGGGCCATTCACAAGGCCTCAGGGTGGGATGGTGTTACCTGATGTGGCGGAGGATGGCTCCACAATTCCAACCCTTCACAACCTAGAAAACAACAGGCACTGGCTGGTGAAAGCCGTGGGGTTCAGCTAGCCCACTGCCTTCCCAGCGGGGCTCCTGCCTCCCCACCATGGCCACCACTCCCATGATGCAGGAGCAGCCACGTGGGGACAGAGAGTGCTCAGGGTGCGTGGCCTCAGCAGGAGGGACTGCTCTCTCCCAAGGCGGCCCTCAGGCAGCTGCAAACCACGTGTCCAGTAAGACCAGTATGCTGGTGAAAGGGACCCTGGCAGACCAATGGGGATAGGCCCCGGGCCTGCCAGGCCCTGCATAGCAGCCATGAGCCACAGGTGGTTGTGTAGATTTACCATGAATCCCAGTGACTCAGTGGGATTGCATGGGAAGGCCTGTGTGCCCGAGCATGGCATACTCTTGTTACCAGAGAAAGCTCCTTGGGCAGCCGCTGTTCAAGATGAACTCCACCCTCCTAGAGGGCCAGCCATCACCCTAGAGCCCTCAGCAGACCCAACCACTGCATGATGCACGGAAAGGCCTCTGTAGGCCGGGCGCGGTGGCTCAAGCCTGTAATCCCAGCACTTTGGGAGGCCGAGACGGGCGGATCACGAGGTCAGGAGATCAAGACCATCCTGGCTAACACGGTGAAACCCCGTCTCTACTAAAAAATACAAAAAACTAGCCGGGCAAAGTGGCGGGCGCCTGTAGTCCCAGCTACTTGGGAGGCTGAGGCAGGAGAATGGCGTGTACCCGGGAGGCGGAGCTTGCAGTGAGCTGAGATCCGGCCACTGCACTCCAGCCTGGGCGACAGAGCATGACTCCGTCTCAAAAAAGAAAAAAAAAAAAAAAAAAAAAAAAAAAAAAAAAAAAAAAAAGAAAGGCCTCTGTCCCACCAGTGGGGAAACTGAGCCCAGAGACCCTTCCCCTGCCCGGGCAACCCGTCTGCCAGGTCCTATGGGTCTGTCTCATGGCAGACACCTGGTGGGAGGGAGGCCACACAACAGGATGAAAAGATGGGCAGGGAATAGGCTGTGGAGACCCAGGGCTGGCAGGGAGATGGCCTGGCTGGCAGAAGCAGCCCTAACCCTGGGCAGGGCAGGAACTGAAACCCACGCACTGCAGGCCACAGACCCAGAGTGCACACTGGGAAGCTCCCGGGGCCTTGGCTTCCTAGAGGACAGAGGCACCCTCTCCAACCCGGGCAGGGTCTCTCCTCTCGAGATGCTGGGTGTTCCTGAGGTCTTGCCCCACCGAACCGTCTCTGCTTCCGTGGATCAGCCCCCAAGGCAGAGCTGGGGGGAGCCAACAACCTCTGGCTCCACACCCAACTCCGGTAGGGAAGGAAGCGAGCTTTGAGAGAGGCCAGATGGGAAGGCAAATCCCCAGCTCATATCTGTGGGAAGGTTCTGGAATATTGAAGTCCATCCTCAAATGTTCTGACTATAAAGACAAGTTGGCGGGTATGTGGTTTCCCATCACATCAAGCTGGCCAGTACTCACCCCGACAAAGGGAATGAACTTTTGGGAGGACTCTTCGTCAGGGCTAAGAGCAAGGAAACAGACAGTTAAGCTCTCCTCAGGGCACAGCCCCGCCTGTTGGGCACAGCTCCCTCTTGGCCTGAGAACCTGGCGCAGCCCCAGGGCCACGACCCTGCCCCAGTCGGCCCTGCCCAGTGTGTCCAGCCCCACCCATCCCAAACCACTGCCAGCCCTGGCCTGACCCCCAGGACCAAGGTTTGGGCCCCTTCTGACATGCTGACATGCAAGAAGGACAAAGGGGTCTCCGTGCACCCATGGTCAGACAGGCCAGAAGGCAGAGCTCCACGGAGGATTCACTCAGCTATCCTAGGTGCCCAACGCCCACGCAGCCAGCTCAGCCCCGTCCAGCCTACATTTCCGCTGCTCCACCAAGCTGGGCACCCCTGCTCCGCTGGGATAAGGGCAGCTACTGGTGCCCTGGACTCCCAGGAGGAGCCTGGGCCCTCTCTGGTAATCAGCAGCACCAAAGCCAGGGCGGATAGGTTTTCTCCAGACCATCTGGGTAATGTCCGTGCCCACGAGAGGCCACTGTACCAGAACACCCCAAGCACAGCCTGCAGGCAGGCCCAGCACGCCCCAGGCCATGGCCCGCGTGAGATGATGCGCTCGGTGGGCAGTGGAGGTTTTGTCTGGACCTGGCCCCATACAACATTTGGCAGATAACAGCAGCCTCTCTAGAGGTCTGGTCACAGCCCGTCCACGTGAAGATGCCAAGGGTGTGAGTAAAGGAGCTGTAGGGCTGCTGAGAGGACCCGTCTGTCTTCCCCTCCGATGTGTGCGGCTCAAGCAGGGCTGTCCTGTGGTCTGGCTCGCGCAGGCTCCTGCTGACCATGGCCACTGCAACCTGGGCTCGGGCCCAGGAAGCTCTCCCACAAGACAAGGGGCCAGCACAGCATGAGGCCCTGCCGGCAGCTAGGGTGAGGTGGGGCGTCTCCTTCTGGGCCCCAGGAAAGATCCAGAGGGCAGGCCTATCCTGAGTGGTGGAATGGGTCTGGTTCCCCTCTTTCCTTCTCTCTGCTGGCCTCAAGGCTCCCCGTGGCCTCCACTTAGGGACAAGGGTGCCTCCCCGCCCGGCTTCCTCAGCCAGACCACATCAGCAACTGGTGCCGTCTCTCTGGGCAGTTCTCCCAGCTGTCTCTTCTGTCTCATTTCCCCAAACTGCAGAGTCTGATGCCAGCAAGTGGCTGTCTTACAGGTGGAGACTGTGCGCACACATTGCAGAGGAGCACCTGTTGCCCCTGGAGCACTGGGGGCAGGACAAGAATGGCCAGGCCAGCAGGGTGCCCCTCAGGGACAGCCCTGCACCAGGTGCAGGACATGGGCTCGCCCAGGGGCCCCGGCCCTCCCTTGGGTTGTTGTCCAGCACAGGGAGAATCCCTTGCAGGAAAGAGGCCCAGGGGAGGATGCCACAGGCCCAGCCCGGCCGTCTGCCTGGAGCACCAGCTCCCAGGACCAGCAGCACTATCTCCCCAAGAGCCCTGCAGGGCAGAGGCTTGATCCCAGTGCTCCACACCAAGTGTGCCCACGAGCAGAACAGCCCCTGCCCGGGGGCTGGTCCAGAGGACACTCCCAGGAGGCAGCCCCTGCGGCTGGTCCCAGCAGGTGCCGTCCCTGTCTTCGCAGCGCCAGTGTGAGGAGACGGCGGCTGGCAAGACCCACCCTCCCCGGACGCCAACCTGGATAGCTCCTGGCCCGCCCTCTGCAGAAGGCCTGGCAAATGCGTCTGGATGAAGCCACCTACAGATTTCGTCCATCCCATTAAAGATGCCCAGCCTAGTTCCATTTCTAAGGAAAAGAGAGTTGAAAGATAAACTTTCCCCTCTTCTTGTCCAGTTCAAGTAACATAAAGCGAGGCACATCCAGTGTTCAGGCCCGCCTCTGCCTCAGGACGGCGCAGGGCAACCTCTTGGCCCCCCAGCACCCTGGCTCTGTCCACAGCTGTCAAGCAGGAGTGCCTGGGCGTGGCCCTTGACATCCCACTATCCCATTGAGCAGACCGGTGTTTGGAAATCTCAGTGACATCTGTGTCCTCCCAGGCACGCGAAAAGGCACAGAAGGCAGGTGGCGGCTGCTGGTCCCCAGGGCACAGGTAGCTCCAATTCCCGGGCCACCTGCCCTCTGCCGAGCCAGACCCCCCACCGAGCCAGCCATGGCAGGGTGGTCTCCCATCCATGCTCTGCTCTGAGGCCCATGGGGCAGTGTGTGGCACATGAGGGCCGAATGCAGGAGACGTTACAACACAGGGATGTTGCTGGAACTCTCAAAGCCAAGCTGCACCTCTGGGCCATGCAGACAGCACCCAGCCCTGGACATGGGCTGATATGACAGGGATGACACCAGCTGGACACTGAGACCCTCACCCTGACCCTGGAGGCACACACATGTCCATGGAGGCAGAGTGGTCAGGAGCGTAAGGAGCGCACCACCGCGGCGTGGGGAGGCCCCACAGGCACGGAGGGCGCAGATGCCCGGGGGCCACTCTGCATGGCTCTTGGCAAGCTGCCGGATGCCTGAGCAGCCCTTTTCACCCATGCGTGCTGCATGGGCAGGCTGGGGCTTGTGGCCACCCTCCAGGCCTGGCCTGCCCTCATAGAAGGAATGCCATTCTGGGCAGAGGAGGGCAGGCCAGCAGGGGTCATCTCACAAGGGACTCTCGCAGGGGAGCATGGCTGGAGAGGACTCTGCACAGGTCCCCTGCCACAAGGGCTGTGCCACCACCTGCCACCTGCCCTCTGTCAGCCTCCCGACTGACCCTCCTCTGGGTAGAGACAGCAGGTAAGACACTCATGGCCTTCGCTGGGTTCCTTCCAGGGCCCCAGCCAGCCAGTGTCACCCCTGTAACGTGGAGGCAGCCAGTGTCACCCCTGTAACGCGGAGGCAGCCAGTGTCACCCCTGTAACGCGGAGGCAGGGGCAGGAGCAGGGTGGGAGTGGGTGTTAGGGTCCCCTAAGGCCCTGGCTTGCTGCTCAGAAGAGCTGACCTGGGAGAGACAAGAAGCTGCATCCACAGCCTGAGGCAGCCCGGGCAGCCAGAGCATGCTGCAGGCTCTTCGTGCCACAGCCGGGGCAAGGGCGCAGGCCGCCGGGGGTCAGCAGGGAGAGGCCCCCATGGCTGGTCTTTCACCTGCAAAGGCTTGTTTAGCAGGACAAGACGTAGGATGCTCAGCCCCCTTCCTGTGTCTTCCTAGCGCCCAGCCCTGCAGCTGTGGGTGGTCCCAGGCTGTCCACTTCGAGCAGCTCCTAGGCCTGCAGTATTTCCAGCAAGGGGGCCCCAGGGACCCAACTACCCTGCACTGGGGGGGGGGGTGGGGGTGGGTTTCCTAGGACAGCAAATGACCTCACACAGGGCAGAAGACACGGAGCGGAGAACGAGCCCCATGGGAGGACCAGCAGGGTCCCCCACCCTGCAGCAGGACACACCTGGCCAAGGAAAAGGGATGGCTCTGTCTGAAAGGGCAGCTCGAGGGGTGCCTGGGACTTGGCTCTAAACATGGAAAGTTTTAGGGGGTGAAGCTGCCTCAGAACAAAAGCTCTTCACCCCCATTTGGAGGTCTCAGTAGTTTGGCTCCATCTCCAGGTGAGCCACAAGATGCTGGTAAGCCCTCTCTGCTGGCCCCGGGTGCTCAAGGGAGCCCTGGGAGCCAGGCTCTGCAGCATATAGGCAGCCCAGGGCACAGCCGCTGACTGCCGTGTCACCGGGCCTGCTCCTTATCTACTTGCCTCAGCGTCCCCATGTGTAGGGCGTGCACCAGTGCCCCTGCTAGGCTGCTGCCAGGTTAACAAACATGAAGGGCTTGGGGCACAGCCTGGCCCAGGTGGCCCTGGTGTCTACATCAGCCACTCGCTCCTGGTTTAAAATGAGGAGGGGCTAAACCTGGCCACTTCTTAAACCAAAACCCAGGGCCAAACCAGAGGGGAGGCAAGGCCTGCCCGGCTGATCTGCAGGCTTCAGGGCTCTGGGGTGGAGTCCCAGCACACAGGCCTGGCCCGGGGACAGGAGGGCGCATCTGCTGCTTTCCTGACTCAGTGTGAGAGACTGGGTGGCGGAAAAGGGTGCACGTCAGCACCAAGTGACTCCGGTTGGGGCCACCTGCCCTCCCCCACGCGGGCTCTCAGCCTGCAGCTGGCAGCCCTCAGGGCCTGACTCCCAGTCCGGAGACAGGACAGCAGGGTGATCCGGATGGTGACGCTGCTAAACAAGCCCTAAAGACCAGCCTGGGAACAGACAGGGTGGGAGGCAGACCCAGAGAGCCATACCTTAAGGTAAAGTCAAAATGAAAATGCTTTTTCCTTTTCAGAAAGCCACCAAAAGAGAAAACACAGACACGTTACGATGCCCTCAGGAGCCCTCCGGGGACTGCCGAGGGCACTCAGTGGCTCCCACCTCGCTGGGTTCCTGTGTGGGAGAGCCCGTGAGCGCCGGCTCTGCGCCTTGCACTCAGCTCTCTCCCCCATAGTCTAGGGAAGTGTGGGACAGCTGGCGCCGGACGTGCAGGGAGGCGGCGCCGGGTGGGACAGACAGGTCTGTGCAGGGCTTTCGGCCCGGGGCTCCTGAGCACTGTCCTGCTCTGGGCAGGTGAGGACACAGGCTGATCACTCACCCACGGGGCCTGAGGCCCAGGGACTCCTCGGTTCCCCAGCCCGGGAAACCCAGTCTGTGGAAGGAACAGGTGCCCAGACTAGAGGAACTGGGCCACTGCCACCCTAGCCCCATGACAGCTGTCCATCCTGTCAACTTCTCATCACGCGGGGTTTCAACATGCACAGAAACAGGTGTGGAAACGGCGCTTACTATGAGAGATCTGGGGTGGGGGAAGCGCCTGCTGTCAGGAAGGCCCGGAGGTGCCCGGCTGACCTAGGCTCTGGTCTAAGCCCGGTGCAGGGTTTTTCGGCCTACCAGGCTGAGCCCAGCAGTGTGTGGGGAGGCCCGCGGAGGGTTGGTGGCTGGTAACAGCCTGTGGCATGGTACCCGGGCCCACCGTGTTACCTCTTCTGCTTGTAGGTCAGCATGGCCTCTGCGATGGGGAGCTGGTGGGCACAGTTGGCCCTGCGATGTACTGGGTGATGCGCGACACAATGTCCGGCGTGTCCTGTACTGCAGGGGGAGGAGGTGGTGGGGGATGAGGCTGGCGCCAGGTGGGGTTTCAGGTGGGGCTGAGCCGGGCCTCCCCGGTGCCCTACCCAAGCCTCCCACACCCCGAAGTGCAGCAGGGCTCGCTGGCTGTGGCTGAGGGGCCCTGGTCCTCTACTCTCAAGGCGGTACCCAGGGCAAATGCGGGAAGACCTGAAGGGCTGTGCCTGCCGCTTCCCAGACAGGCCCCACAGCTTCCAACATTCTGAAGCTCAGGGGAATAGGAGGCGTCCTAGCCAAGGCCCCAGCGGGCCCTGTCCATGGCCTCTTCCCTGAGGCTGAGCCTGAGCAGGTGCAGGGCCTCCTGGGCATGGCATCTGGGGAGACCAGGGCCCCTTCCTCCTGCAGTGGCGTGGGCTGTGGACGTGCCCGGGCCTCACCCGCACTCTGGGCCTCCAGCTTGTTGAACAGGTCTCTCCAGGCCAGGTCCTGGAAGAAGTTGTTGTAGCGGTAGTCCACAGAGCCTAGGTACCTGGCCACGGGGTGGGAGCCTGCATGCCAGGGGTGGGGCTGGTGTCACCACAGGGGACTTGAAGCTGCAAGGCTCCCACCGCAGCCCAAAAGCTGGGCCACCTGACCCCGCGCCTGTGCTGCTGCCTTCCAGACAAGCCTACTTTCCTGCCACCGAAAGAGAAAGCCACCACTGCCCCTCCCTGGTGGATGCCTGAGGCCCCGCTGAAGGAGTCCCAGCCCTGAGCTGAGGTCCTAGAGCCCTGAGTGCCACTGAGGAAGGCCCAGCAGGGCACATATGACCGTGCAGAGGCCTCGGCTGGCTCAGGGCTCTGACGTCGGCATCGTGAGGGCCACAAGGGAGAGACCCTGTGGGCCTCCGGGCCTTTTCAACAGATTAAGGCTGGATGGGTTGGTTTTGTGGTAAAAACACATTGTTTGGATCTAAAGAAGTAACAGAGTTCGACGACACAGGACCTGGACGATTTGAGAGGATTAATAACCAGCCCTGCTTTGCACTTCTGACTTGGGAAATAGAAACTGGCATTGAGTTATCACAGCAACTGACGGAGGGGACACCCAGCTCAGGCCCCTTCAGAGGGCAATGGCTTTATCTTGACCCAAATATGGCTGTTTTAGGGCAATCAAGTTATCCTGCATATAATTAAAATTAACAAAGTGTTACTGTATCAAACAAACATTTAAAAACAACAAATGGGCGGCAAGCAGGGACCCCACACCACGTCACACCACACCACGCCACACCACACCACGCCACACCACGCCACGTCACACCACACCACACACCACACATCACGCCACACCACGCCACACCACACCACGCCACGCCACGTCACACCACACCACACACACCACACCCACACCACACACACCACACGCCACGCCACGCCACGCCACACCACACCACACACCACGTCACGCCACGCCACGCCACACCACACCACCCATGGCATCTGTGCCCAGGCCCAGGTGGACGGCGCGGTGCTCACCCAGCGGGATGACCAGGAAGCGCATGTAGCCGAGCCAGTCGGGCGTCTTGTGGGATAGCTGCTCCACGAAGAGCCGCAGGATGGCGCTGAGGTAATGCTGCGCTCCCGCCACGGCGATCTTCACGGGGGTCGGGGGCTGGGAATTGCAGTTGCAGCTGCAATCCAGAGGCAGGTGGGACGGAGAGGGGACAGACGCCTCAGGGGAGCCGTCCTCCGTCCAAGGATGCCAGTGTGAGCCCAGGGGGCTCTGTGCCTGTGGCCGCTCATGCCACAACTGCCCTGGAGCTGCCCAAACCCAGGACCCCCACATGCCCGAACGTGCCCAGGCTGAGGGGCCACACAGTCATGACCTCGGCCCAGGCTTCCAAGGACGGGCCAGGCGGCCACCCCTCCAGTGTGGCAGGACACCTGCCAGGCTGCTGCTCCCGCCCACAACTGAGGGCAGGCCAGGCTGCGAGGAGCCCATGGGTCAGCCTCTGTGGACACCAGCCACAGCCCCAGGTGCAGAACGCGCCCAGCCCCAGAGAAATGGGTAGAGGTGGGGTGCAGGGACCCCGAGGGGTACTTGGGCGGTGAGTACAGGGTGGAGCCCAACTCACTATCTCTGTATCCGTGAGACGATGGTGCTGAAGGCTGCCTGGACGTCTGCGGGAGAGCATGTGCACACCACGGGGAGCGTGTGCCTCTGCAGGACGTCGGAGAGGAACTGGCAGGGGACAGGCAGACGCTGACTTCCGCACAGCCGCCTGCGCCACCCCCAGCACCTGACCCTCACCAAAGCTCTCAGGGTCTCCAGAGACCCCAGGCACGTCCAGGCAAACCACAGCCTGCAGCTCCGGCACCTGGGTGTGCCAGGTTGGGGGCAGGTTCAGGAGCCCACTCTCCTCTGTCCTACACCCTGACCCTCCACTCCACGAGACGGCACCTGTACCTGCCCCTGCCAGTCCGAGGTGTTGACGAGGATGATGTTTTCGGGAAGCTGGTCGTCGGAGATGAGGATGTGGTTAAGCTGGTCATACACAGTCTTCCTGGGGATCTGGAGGCACACAGCCCTGTCCACACCCAGAAGAGACGCACAGCGCCCACCCCACCGCCCCAGCCCTGGTGTCTGCAGTGCCCCTGCTCCCCCTGCAGCTGTGCAGAGGCTCAGTGGCAGGAAGAGAGCTGGTCAGCTTGGAGACCACCCCTGGGCTAAATCAGCCAAGCAATGAGGCCGCCCTGGACCAGGGAGGGCAGCAGAAGGACCAGAACTCGCCCTGGGGTCCACATGGCCTTCCTGACAAACCAACCCATGACCCAGCCGCCCTGCTGTGCAGCAGGCGCCCTCCAAAGCCCAGGCATGCTCTGCATGCTCCCAGCAACCTTGGCCCCCTGCACTTCTTTTTGCCCTGCCCTGGTTGGTGCCACGGTGACCACGAGCCCTGCCTCCTGGTCATGCTACGCCCTCCACCCCCACCTGCACCTGCACCTGTAGCTGGCTCCGGGCATCCGGGCAGCGCTCGTTGTCCAGACTGTTGGCCCGCTCATTCTGGGGCCTCGCTGCCTGCCGCTCTTTCAGGGACGTGCTCCGGCCCCGTCGGCCAGCCTGCTTCCCCTCGGACCTATTGGAGACCAGGACAGGCTAAGTGGCTGCAGCAGCAGGAACAGGGGCAGGGGCAGGGGCAGGCTTGCAGTGGCCTACACATTGTGGTGGGGACAGGGAAGGGTGAGCACAGGGCCGACTGATGGGCAGTGGGAACACAGGCCACACAGAGAGGCCACCAGCCGTGGGAGGACCGTAGCAGCAGCTGAGTACAAGAGAGGCCGTGCCCCCAGTGGGACCCCACGCAGCTCTGCCTGTGAGACTACAAGCCAGGCCAGGAGCCTTGGAACCACCGTGAGGACTGAGCTCACCCTCCCTGCCCGGGCCAGGAGCTGGGCAGAGCCAGGTATAGGCCAGTGCAGGGCGCTGAGGCTGCCAGGGCGACCTGGCTCCAGAGCGCGGACACAGGCACCTGGGTGCCGCCGTAAGGTGAAAGTCAGTGCCCAGACTCACTGCTTTGGAAAAAATCTCAAATATCACAGAAACATGAAATTGATATCCTGGAAGAATCAAGCTGGTGGATGTGTGTGTTTTGGCTGAGGCAGGGGCTACTCAGGGGGCTGTGGGGGCAGCTGCAGAAGGGCAGACACGCCTGGCCCTGCCCTCAAACACGTGGGGCGGAATGTGGGGCTGCAGGCTTGACACCCAATCGCCTGACCCTGCCCTCAAACACGTGGGGCAGAATGTGGGGCTGCAGGCTTGATACCCACTGCTGGGGCAGGGGGTTTGCTTCTCCTTTCTAAGAAGAGGGATAGGCCGGGCGCGGTGGCTCAAGCCTGTAATCCCAGCACTTTGGGAGGCCGAGACGGGCGGATCACGAGGTCAGGAGATCGAGACCATCCTGGCTAACACGGTGAAACCCCGTCTCTACTAAAAAATACAAAAAACTAGCCGGGCGAGGTGGCGGGCGCCTGTAGTCCCAGCTACTCGGGAGGCTGAGGCAGGAGAATGGTCTAAACCCGGGAGGCGGAGCTTGCAGTGAGCTGAGATCCGGCCACTGCACCCCAGCCTGGGCGACAGAGCAAGACTCTTGTCTCAAAATAAAAAAAAAAAAAGAAGAGGGATGAGGCCCTGAGTCTGCTGTCTACACCCAAGGGAACTCATCAGGCTGGTCTGACAGGCACCCACCCCGACTCATGCCCCAGATGGCCCCTCCCCTAACAGCTGCATCGCCAACCTGCCAGCCACCCAGCCCCCATCACCTGGTGGAGGGATGACAAGGGACTCTGTCTTGGTGATCCGCCCGCTGGGCGGCAGCCTCTCTGTGAACACGTCCAGGGTGGAGGCCTCAGCCTCGGGGCTGTCCTCAGGCTGTCCAGGCTGCTCCCTCGGGCCCGGCACACCCTGCTGACCACAGACATCCCTGGAGCCTCCCATGGAAACCGCACCCGTGCTGCAGCCTCTCCAGCCATGTGGCCTCTGGCTTGGGTGAGGGTTTAGGCCTCTCTAGGCTGTGGCTCCTATATGTGGACCCGGCCATACACTGACCAGGAAGCCTGGCTGAGCTCAGTTCCAACCACAGGGCTCCCATCCAGGCCATGCAGGGTAACCAGCACCCAGCCTCCCAGGACCTGACCTGCCCTGGGCCCAGGACCCCCTAACTAAGGAGACCCCATGCAATGCAGTAGGGGGAACCAGGCATTCCTGGGTGCCATCCACCTGAGGGTGGGGTGAGTCCAGGTACCCTGATCCTGAAGGTGGGGTGACTCCGGGGCACCTGGACCCTGAGGGTGGGGTGAGTCCAGGGCACCCAGACCCTGAGGGTGGGGTGAGTCCAGGCATCCTGACCCTGAGGGCGGGTGGAATCAAGGCACCCTGACCCTGAAGGTGGGGTGAGTCTGGGGCATCTGGACCCTGAAGGTGGGATGAGTCCAGGCACCCTGACGCTGAAGGTGGGGTGAGTCTGGGGCACCTGGAGGTCCCTGAGGGTGGGGGGGTCCAGGCGCTCTGACCCTGGGGGTGGGGGGAATCCAGTGTGCCCTGACCTTGAAGGTGGGGTGAATCCAGGTGCCCTGACCCTGAGGGTGGGGGTTCCAGGCGCCCTGACCCTGGGGGTGGGGGAATCCAGTGTGCCCTGACCCTGGGGGTGGGGGAATCCAGTGTGCCCTGACCCTGGGGGTGGGGGAATCCAGTGTGCCCTGATCCTGGGGGTGGGGAATCCAGGTCCCCTGACCCCAAAGGTGGAGTGAATTTTGGGATACTCTGACCATCCAGCGGCCTGGCCACCCCTGAGGGCTGACCCCACCTCTGCACACCAGGTGTGACATGAGGACCTACATGTGAGTCCCACCCCTCTGGGTCAGACCCTTAAAGGCAGCATTGGCGTGCCTGGTGTGCGGAACGGGTGGGTGTGGCCCGAGCCTGCTTACGAGGGCCACCGTGTCAGAGACACTGTCGCTCGGCTGCCTGCCTCCCAGGGACCGCGTCTTCTCGGGCGCGTCAGCCTGTGGGGGAGGAGATGGGAATCAGCTTGTGCTCAGCTACAGGTGCCAAGGCACTGACTTCTGGGCTGGGGATGCTGGGGCTCAGGGGAGGCCCGGGGCAGCTGCGTGGCAGTGTGCTAGATAGCGGGCGCAGAGTGGCTCCAAGACAGCTGGGCAGGGCCCTGGGCCCAGGCCGTACTGGGAGATGTGGGCCACACCACAGCCCAGTCGGACCACGGTCTGCTCTGGGAGATCAGTGTGGCCCCACTCACCGGGCTGGGGGGCTCCCTGTGGCTGCGGACGCTGTGGATGCTCCCGATCTCCGTTTGCGAGCTCGAGTGTGACAAGCCTTCAAAGTACGGCCTGGCTCAGGGAACAGGGGAGGGGGAAACATTAATTTCCAGGACCCTTCTTGCACTGGAAGCGCAGTTCTCCCACCACACCTGGAGGGACAGACTGGAGAATCCAACGGCAGAGTAGAGCTGGGTCCAGAGAAGAGCCCATGTCAGTGCACACCCTGCTCGCGCCAACTGCAGCACAGGGCACAGAACAATTCTGGAGCTGGCAATGCCAAGCCCTGGGCCGACCTGGCTGCCCCTTCCTGGCTCTTCCACCCACCCTGATATCAGCTGCAGGAAACACACATCCCTGAAACTCATGGCCTTAGCTCCAGGCAAGGCTGCCGGAAACATGAAGGGGCTCTGGGGAGAGCTCCACGGGCCAATCCTGCTGGAGGGCAGCCCTGGGATCTGCAGTCAGCCTGCAGCAAACAGGCGAACATGCTCGACAAAACAACGAGGGCACATCAGATGAAGCAGGCCCTTCCAGACCCACCAGCAGATCAGACCACCCAGGCCCATCCAGGTCCTTCCAAACCATCCAGGCCTGTCCAGACTATCCAGGCCCTTCCAGGCTCACCAGACAGATGCAGACCACCCAGGCCAACCCAGACCATACAGGCTTTTCCAGACCAACCATGCCCATCCAGGTTCTTCCAAACCATCCAGGCCAACCCAGACTAGACAGGCCTTTCTGGACCACCCAGGTCTTTCCACACTATCCACACTGATCCAGGCCACCCATGCCTTTCCGAAAACCCACGCCTTTCCCCAGACCAAACCAGGTCAATCTGGACCATCCATGCCTTTTCGGACCCACCCAGGCCTTTCCCAGACCATCCAGGCAGATGCAGACCATCCACGCCTTTCCAGACCACCCAGGCCTTTCCAGACCAACCAGGCCCATCCAGACCACCCAGGCCCTTCCAGATCATCCAGCCTATTCAGACTATCCAGGCCTTTCCAGACAACCCAGGCCTTTCCACACCATCCACGCTGATCCAGGCCACCCACACCTTACCGGACCACCCATGCCCTTCCGGACCACCCACGCCTTTCCAGTCCAACCAGGCCAATCTAGACCATCCACACCTTTCCGGACCACCCAGGTCTTTCCAGACCAACCAGGCCCTTGCAGACCATCTGGCCGATCCAGGCCATCCGAGCCAAATGTCTCATCTCTGGTTGATATAATATGTACACAGAAGAAGGAGGAAGGGAGACCTACAGATTCAATAAGACTTAAAAGACCTTTCAAGTGAAAACAGTTGGACAGGAGGTGAGGCGCACTGGCTCACACCTGTAGTGCCAACACTTTGGGAGGCCAAGGCAGGTGGTTCGCTTGAGCTCGGGAGTTTGAGATCAGCCCGGGAAACATAGGGAGACCCTGTCTCTACAAAAAACATAAAAATTAGCTGGGTGTGGTGGCGTGTGCCATTGGTCCCAGCTACTGAAGAGGCTGAGGTGGGAGAATCGCTTGGGCCCAGGCGGTTGAGGCTGCAGTGAGCTGTGATTGCACAGCTACACTCTAGCCTGGGTGACAGAGCAAGACCTTGTCTCAAAAAACAATTCCCCCGCCCCCCCAAAAAAACAGACAGGACTTATGCAGTGTCTGGTGCCCCACCCTGGGTGACAAAACTACACGGAAACTCATTGCTGCAGTGTGTGCCCATTCCAGATCATAGCCCCGAGACCGGCACACGCCTCTCCCCAGACCTATGAATGCCAGCTGGCCAGGGCTCTGCAGATATAGTCACCACCACAGAGTTTAAGATGGGAGATGATCTGGGCCACACAGGTGTCTCCTATGGAATCATATGAGCCATTAAAGACAGAGAACTTTCTCCGGCTGAAGGCAGAAGAGATGAGGCAGGAAGGCCAGGGAGACCCAAAGTGTGAGGGGGACTTGACCGGGCCTTGCTGGTTCCGAAGGTGGAGGAGGGACCCTGGGCCAAGGTAAGAGGACAGTTGCAGCCGGGCGCGATGGCTCACACCTGTAATCCCAGCACTTTGGGAGGCCGAGGCGGGCGGATCACGAGGTCAGGAGATCGAGACCATGGTCAAACCCCGTCTCTACTAAAAATACAAAAAATTAGCCTGGCGCGGTGGCGGGCGCCTGTAGTCCCAGCTACTTGGGAGGCTGAGGCAGGAGAATAGTGTGAACCCGGGAGGCAGAGATTGCAGTGAGCCAAGATAGCACCACTGCACTCCAGCCTGGGCGACACAGCGAGACTCCGTCTCAAAAAAAAAAAAAAGAGGACAGTTGCCAGAAGGCAAGAATGACCGCCAGCCACCAGGCAGCACAGGGCAGCCAGACCCCCGTCCTGAAGCCATACGGAGCTGAACTCCATCAACAACCACACTAGGCCTGCACCACGTGACCTCAGAGCCCCAGTCAGGGCAGCCACTGATACCTCCACCCAAGCCCAGCGAGACCCTGGCCAAGAATGAGGCCACAGCCTCGGGATGGCAACCTCTAGAACAGGAGGAACAGAGGCTGTTTTTGGTGGCCACATCTGCGGTCACCTGTTATGGTGGCTGCTGGCAACTGAAAGCAGCAGCAAGTGGAGCTGGGGCTGCCGCGCCAGGTCAGGTGAGGTGGAGGCTGCTGCATGGCCGCAGGGCTAACTGGGGCCGCGCCTCCAACATGCAGCAAGGTCACCTTCATGTTGTTTAGGTTAAAAAAGCATGACAGCAAAAGGTCTGCCAAGCCTTCTGGCTCCGACTGGGGTCTCTGGCTCCTCAGCAGCTGCCCAGAGCCTGGCACGTGCCTTCTGCCTGGTGTGCTTGCCTCCCTGCCCCCAGCTGACCGGGGCCTCCACATCCAGACCCATGCACAGAGCTGTCTGCCCTGCATCCTCTCCTCCTGCCCAGGCCAGGCCCCTCCAGCCAGTCCCCTCCTCCCAGCCAGCCCCAGAGACATCTGCCCTCCCTCCCCACCGGCCTCTGCCGCCTCCTCCTCAGGGAGGCGCACCCAGCATGGGGGCTCTACTCCCCACCTGAGTGGACAGAGGTCCTGCTGCAGTTCCCAGGGCATCCCCCAATGACGGATCCCCTACAACAGGGTGCCAGGCCCAGCCCAGCCAGCACCCTGGGGGACCCCTCTCAGTCCTCTCCAGCCCAGAGCTTGCACCGCCTGGCCTATGACAGGAGAGCTGTCTGTCAATGCAGCCCCACACCTCTCCTTCCAGCCACCAGAGCCTTCCCAGGCTTTGAGGCAGCTGGCCCTGCCCACCCCGTCCCCAGGGCTGGACACGGGTCTGCTGGAGTGGCCGCAGAGTGGCCAGGGCATCTGAAATGGCTGTTCCTCCTGCCCCGCCCTGCCCAGTAGGGCTCACCGCAGCTTTGGCTTGGGGGTGCTAAGGACGCTGTCGTCGTCTTCCATGTCGGGGCCGCTGTCGCTGGGGTGCTCCATGTCCAGCGTGTCATATAGGAGGTCCAGGTCCTCCTCCGCCTCGGGGATGTGCTCCGCAGGGTCCTGCTCCGAGTCCAGGACCTGCATGGGTGCCAGGCAAGCGTGAGGACCAGGCAGGAGTTCCCTGCAGTGGCCCATGCTGCCCCGTTGGGGGCACCCGAGACCCCAGAGTCTGCGGGAACAATAGGAGGCGGGCGCCCGGCCACCAAACCCCACTGCTCAGCACGGCTGTAGTCCAGCTTCTGTCTTGGAGCTTGGGATGATCACCGAGGACCCCAGGCCCCCAGGTACCGGTGTGTGTGATGTTACTCCACCTTGCCTGGGCTGGTAGTCATCCGGGCCACCAGGGTGCATGGAGGGCTTGGGTGCAGGCAGGTGAGCTCTGACGGGTGTGGGCCGCTGTGCAGCCACCACCACAACCAAGATACAAGCTGCTCCCCACACCCAGGAGGCTCCCCTTTGCCCTCCTCTAGTGCGTCCCTCCTTCAGCCCCAGGCCCCGCGGATCTTACTCTGTCCCTGTACGTTCTGCCCCTTCCCAGTGCTATCTAAGAGGGATCACGCTGCCTGCAGCTCTGAGGGTGGTGGGGGGCATCATCCACCCAGTGTGGCACACTTCATGTTCCTCTGTGTCCCACCCAAATCTCACCTTGAATTGTAACCCCCATAAGCCCCACGTGCCAAGGGTGGGACAGGTGGAGGTGACTGGTCCTGGGGGCGTTTCCTCCACGCTGTTCTCATAATGAGCACATCTTACGAAATCTGATGGTTTTATAAGTGTCTGGTATTTCCCCTGCTCGCACCCACTCCGACCTGCTGCCCCGTAAATAAGGTGCCTGCTTCACCTTCTGCCATGATTGAAAGCTTCCTGAGGCCTCCCCAGCCATGCTGAACTGAGTCAACTAAACCTCTTTCCTTTATAAACTTCCTCAGATGGTTCTGCTGTGCACCACTGAGTGGATGGACCCCAGTCTAACGGATCACCAGCTGACGGGCATTATGACCGTCACAGACGAAGCTGCTGCGAACGTCTGTGTGGGTCTATGCATGTGTGTGTTCACCTCCCTGAAGTCAACACTGAAGAATGGGGGTGCTGGGTGTCTGGCAACTGCTTCCTGTGGCTGCCACGCCACCTCACATTCCCCCGGCAGTGTGTGGGTTCCCTGTTACACTTCATCCTGTTGTATTCCATTTGTTCCAGCCATCCTAGTGGGGATCAAGCAGTGTCTCATTGTGGCTTGGTTTACATTTCCCTAATGACCAGTGATAATGATCATGATGATCACGTACTTATTGGCTACTTGTGTGTCTTTGAAGAAATCTATTCAGAAAGATCCCTATCCGTTTTTTTTTGGAGATGGAGTCTCACACTGTCTGTCGCCCAGGCTGGAGTGCAGTGGTGCGATCTCGGCTCACTGTAAGCTCCGCCTCCTGGGTTCATACCATTCTCCGGCCTCAGCCTCCTGAGTAGCTGGGACTACAGGTGTCCGCCACCATGCCTGGCTAATTTTTTGTATTTTTAGTAGAGACAGGGTTTCACCATGTTAGCCAGGATGGTCTCGATCTCTTGATCTTGTGATCCACCCGCCTCGGCCTCCCAAAGTGCTGGGATTACAGGCGTGAGCCACTGCGCCCAGCCCGCTGCCCATTTTTTAATTGGACAATTCACTCTTCTTTGGTTTTGAGAAAGGGTCTTGCTTTGTTGCCCAGGCTAGAGTGCAGTGGCACGATCATAGTTCACTGTAGCCTCGACCTCCTGGGCTCAAGTGATCCTCCCACATCAGCCCCCAAAGTGCTGGAATTATAGGTGTGAGCCACTATGCCTGGTTCTGACAAGTGATAATCACTTTATTAAAATAGTTGGCTTAAGCATCTGCAATGGTGGTGTCAACCACAGCTCGCAGCTCAATTCCAATGGAGCAATCAGCTTCACAATCCAGGATGGACCAGGCAGGTCCACGAGCCGCTTATGGATTCTCGTCTGGAAGTGATCCTGTGTCTGAGAACCTTCACAAGGTGTTTTTCTCTTAGTGATTCTCAAAGTCTTGGCAGGCATCAGAGCTGGTCCTTTCACTTTGAGATTCTTTTTCTCCGTGCCCCTGATAAGCCAGCACACACCTTCAGGGATTTTACATTGCAGCTGGTCAGGGTAATTCTAATTTAAGGAATCACCCCACCGGCTCCAGAGGTGTCCTTCTGGTGTCTTTAAAAGCCATGGCTGTGAGGCGGCTTCCTGGTCGACTTCTCGGCACAAGTAGACAGCAGTGAGTAGGGCTAGAGTGGGCGGGCCCTAGCTCCGTGGCACCTGAGACTGCATCGTTCTCAAAGCAATGGACAATTCAGCTTTTAACTGGATTGTTTGAGTCTTTCTTTTTCAGTTATAAGCATTCTTTATGTGTTCTAGATTCACGCCCCTTATCACAAACATGATTTGCAAAAATATTCTGTTCTACTGTTTCGCTTTCTTGATGGCACTGTTTGGAGCACAAAAGTGTAAAATGTTGCTGTGGTCCAGAAAAACTTACCTTTTGTCGCCTGTGCTTTTGGTGTCACATCTAAGAAACCCCTGCCTAACCCAAGGTCATAAGATTGGCCCATTTTCTCCTAAGAGTTTTATCATCTTAGCTCACAGATGCAGATATTTGATCAATTTCAAGATTGTTTGTTTGTTTTTCTTTTGAGATGGGAGTCTCACTCTGTCGCCCAGGCTGGAGTGCAATGGTGTGATCTTGGCTCACTGCAACCTCTGCCTCCCGGGTTCAAGCGTTTCTCCCACCTCAGGCTCCCAGGTAGCTGGGACTATAGGCACCTGCCATGATATGATGCCTGGCTAATTGTTTTTGTACTTTTATTAGAGACAGGATTTCACCATGTTGGCCAGGCTAGTTTCAAACTCCTGACCTCAAGTGATCCACCTGCCTCAGCCATCCAAAGTGCTGGGATTACAGGTGTGAGCCACTGTACCCAGCTGATGCATTTTGAGTTAATTCTTGAATATAGTGTGAGGTAGGGGTCCAAATTCCTTTCGTTTGAGACAGGGTCTCACTCTGGTTGCCCAGGCTGGAGTGCAATGGCATGATCTCAGCTCACTGCAGCTTCCACCTCCTGGACTCAGGTGATTCTCCCACCTCAGCCTTCCGAGTAGCTGGGATTACAGGCACATACCACCATGCCTGGCCAATTTTTTGTATTTTTAGTAGAGATGGGGTTTCACTATGTGGACTTATACAATCTGCCTGCCTCAGCCTCCCAGAGTGCTGGGATTACAGGCATGAGCCACCACAGCTGGCTGAAATTCCTTCTTGTGCACGTGGATATCCAGTGGTCCTAGCACCTTTCTTGAAGACTATTCTTCTCCCATGGATATCTTGACATCCTTGTTCACCATCACTTGCCCATAAATGGAAGGGGTCACTTGTGGACTATCACCTCCATTCCTCTGGTCTCTATGCCTGTCCCTGGGCCAGCCCCGCACAGTCTGGATTACTACTGTGGTTTTGTAGTATGTTTTGAAATTGGGAAGTATAAATCTTTTTTCTTCAAGACTGTTCTGTCTGCCCTGAGTCCCTTGCATTTACATATAAATGTTAGCTGGTCAATTTCTACAAAAACACAGCTGGAATCTGATAGGCACTGTGTTGAAGTTGTACATCAATTTAGGGAGTATTGCCACCTTAACAAGACTAAGTTTTCCAATTCATGAACATATGACATCTTTCCACTTATTTATATCTTCTTTCTTTAAAAAATGTTTCATAGTTTCACTGTATGAGTCTTACTCATTTTAAAAATCAGGTTGCTTTTCCTCCTGGGTTTGGAGAGTTTTTTTTTTTTTTTTTTTTGAGACGGAGTCTGGCTCTGTCACCCAGGCTGGAGTGCAGTGGCGCGATCTCGGCTCACTGCAAGCTCCGCCCCCCGGGTTTACGCCATTCTCCTGCCTCAGCCTCCCGAGTAGCTGGGACTACAGGCGCCCGCCGCCTCGCCCGGCTAGTTTTTTGTATTTTTTAGTAGAGACGGGGTTTCACCATGTTAGCCAGGATGGTCTCGATCTCCTGACCTCGTGATCCGCCCGTCTCGGCCTCCCAAAGTGCTGGGATTACAGGCTTGAGCCACCGCGCCCGGCCTGGAGAGTTTTTAATATATCTGTTGGATACAAATCTTTACCAGGTACGTTATTTGCCAATATCTTCTGTCAATCTGTGGCTTATCCTTTTTTTTTTTTTTGAGATGGAGTCTCACTCTGTCGCCCAGGCTGGAGTGCAGTGGCGCGATCTCAGCTCACTGCAAGCTCTGCATTCTCCTGCCTCAGCCTCCTGAGTAGCTGGGACTACAGGCGCCTGCCACCACGGCCAGCTAATTTTTCTGGATTTTTAGACGGGATTTCACCATGTTAGCCAGGATGGTCTCGATCTCCTGACCTCATGATCCACCCACCTCGGCCTCCCAAAGTGCTGGGATTACAGGCGTGTGCCACCACGCCCAGCCAGCTTTTCATTCTTTTAACAGTATCTTTCAGAAAGCAAATTTCTACTTTTGTTTATTGTGTTACAAAATATAAAACATAATATTTTCCATTTTATCTATTTTTAGGTGTATAGTTCAGTGGCATTAGTGCAGGATTTAAGTTCATATTTTTTAAGGCTTAGAATCTATGTAATTTAAATTTTAGGCTTTTACATTTAGGAATATGGTCCAGTCAAGCTGAATTCTGCACATGGTGTGCACTGTCAAGCGTCAGTTTCTTTGTGAAAAGATACTTTCTCTGATGAACTTGGCACCCTTGTTGAAAATCAAGTGACTCGCTAGGTGTGCCACCTTTTACAATGAAAAATACAGAAGGCAGCCCCCAGCGGAAGCTTTCCCTGTGAGCTGAAGCTGAGGGCTGTAGGGAACAGACTTCACTCTGGTTCATCCTCACAGGACGGGTCCCAAGCAGAGCGCTGCTCTCCTCCTCACCAGACCCACTGTGTGGCACCTGGGCACAGGGCAGCCTGGATGCCAGTGCTCTGTGGTCAGCCTAGGGGCTGTGAACGTTTATACCTCCAAAATTCCTATGCTGAAACCTGACCACCAAGGTGCTAGAATTAGCAGGCGGGGCCTCCACCAGGTGGTTAGGGCCCGAGAGCTCTGCCCTGCTGAATGGGCTCGGCGCCCTGGTGAGGGACACCAGGTGGTTAGGGCCCGAGCTCTGCCCTGCTGAACGGGCTTGGCGCCCTGGTGAGGGAGGCTTGAGGGAGCTTGTCAGTCCCGTCCACCACACAAGACACTAAAGTGCCCTCTATGGGAAACAGGCCCTCAGACACCAAATCTACTGGCACTTTGAACTTGGACTCACAGCCTCCACAACTGTGAGAAATACATTTTGGTTGTTTATCAATTGCCCAGTCTAAAGTATTTCGTTATAGCAGCATGAACAATCTCAGAGGCCTGTAATCCAGGCAGGCGACCTCGTCTCACTGTGCATCTCCTGCCCAATGAGGGTTGCTGTGAAGTCCTGGGCAGGGGGCAGTGCCAGGCGTGATGCTCCCAGTGGCCAAGACACAGGTTCAGAGCTGCAGTGGAGATGGTCTGGTCTTTGCAGGAAAGGGATGGGTGGAAATCAGGAAAGAGATCCCATCGCTCCATTAAAGTACTGGGTTGACCTGTGTGAATTTCACACAAAACTGCGCAATTATCCCTATGAAAATGATGTTCTCTCCTGAACGGTGTCTGTGATGTTGGCCCATCTTTTCACAGTTTGGGTTGTGAGTCTCGGAACCATAATCTGTGTAAGTGAAATGCATTCTGGGACTCAGTTCAGTTGCCCACGTGAGTGCAGAATCCCACAGTCAAGATTCAACCAAGAACACCCACCCCTGAACCCACAGGCGCTCGACAGGGCTCAAGGAAGCCCCAGGCCAGGGAGCCGACTTGGCCAAGTCCCATCTTCAGCTGGACTTGGGAATGTTCCAATCCAAGATGCAAACCAAAAGACACAGGGGCCCGAGGACCACCCCAGTAGTGGAGGTGCCCTTCCTCTGCAGCCAGTTGGTGATGTTACGCCGTTCTCAGAAATGCTGCCTGCCCCACCGGGCCACAAATCACCTGTTTCGGCACATGCACTTGACAGCCTCGCTGAGTGTGTGCCCCGAGGCTGATCCAGGTGCATCCCGAGTATGTTAGGACACAGCGCCATCTACAGGCAGCGTGCTCTCAGGCCGACAGGCGACAACACTGCTTCAGGGCTGAAATGCTTAAATGCCACCTCTTCACTTCCGGTCCTAAACCCAGGCACGTTTTTCTTCTGACATTAAAGAAACAACAAAGGCTGGATGTGGTGGCTCATGCCTGTAATCCCAGCACTTTGGGAGGCCGAGGCAAGCAGATCACTTGAGGCCAGAAGTTCAAGACCAGCCTGGCCAACAGGGTGAAACCCTGTTGAACCCAGGAGGCAGAGGTTGCAGTGAGCCGAGATTTGGGTGGTTTTTTTTTGTTTTGTTTCTTTTTTTTTTTTTTTTTTTTTTTTTTTTTTTTTTTTTGAGACAAGAGTCTTGCTCTGTCGCCCAGGCTGGGGTGCAGTGGCCGGATCTCAGCTCACTGCAAGCTCCGCCTCCCGGGTTTAGACCATTCTCCTGCCTCAGCCTCCCGAGTAGCTGGGACTACAGGCGCCCGCCACCTCGCCCGGCTAGTTTTTTGTATTTTTTAATAGAGACGGGGTTTCACCGTGTTAGCCAGGATGGTCTCGATCTCCTGACCTCGTGATCCGCCCGTCTCGGCCTCCCAAAGTGCTGGGATTACAGGCTTGAGCCACCGCGCCCGGCCTGTTTCGTTTTTTTTGAGACGGAGTCTCACTGTGTCGCCCAGGCTGGAGTACAGTGGCGCGATCTCGGCTCACTGCAAGCTCCGCCTCCCAGGTTCACTCCGTTCTCCTGACTCAGCCTCCCGAGTAGCTGGGACTACAGGCACCCGCCACCACGCCTGGCTAATTGTATTTTTAGTAGAGACGGGGTTTCACCGTGTTAGCCAGGATGGTCTCGATCTCCTGACCTCATGATCCGCCCGCCGCGGCCTCCCAAAGTGCTGGGATTACAGGTGTGAGCCACTGCACCCGGCCGAGTGTTTCTTTTTTCTTTTGGAGACAGGGTCTCGCTCTGTTGCCCAGGCTGAAGTGCAGTGGCTCGATCTCCGCTCACTGCAGCCTTGGCCTACCAGGTTTCCTCCCAAATAGCTGGGACTATAGGTGCACACCACCACCCACGGCTAATTTTCGTATTTTACTGTAGAGACAGGGTTTCGCTATGTTGCCCAGTCTGGTCTCAAACTCCTGGGCTCAAGTGATCTGCCCGCCTTGGCCTCCCAAAATGCTGGGATTACAGGTGTGAGCCACTGAGTCCACCTATGTTTTTCTTTTCAGTATGAAAATTATGCAAGTTCATTGTAGAAAATTCCGAGATTAGAGAAAAGGTAAAAGATGAACATTGAAAACCTATGGACTGTCAATAGTGGGGGGCTGTCAGGTGGGGAGGAGTCCATGGGAACTCTGTACTTACTGCTCCATTTTGCTGTAAACCTAAAACTGCTCTAAAAGCTAAAGTCTATTTATAAAAAAACAAACACACAAACTAATGTTACGCCCCCTGAAAATGACTTCCCAGCTTCCAGTGTATTCACGACTCGTACTTCAGCAGAGACCCAGCGGGCGACCTGGAGCCTGGGAGGCAGTGCCGCTGTCCCTGCACCTCACGGTGAAACTGGCCGGGCGGGCGACCTGGAGCCTGGGAGGCAGTGCCGCTGTCCCTGCACATCACGGTGAAACTGGCCGGGCGGGTGACCTGGAGCCTGGGAGGCAGTGCCGCTGTCCCTGCACCTCACGGTGAAACTGGCCGGGCGGGTGACCTGGAGCCTGGGAGGCAGTGCCGCTGTCCCTGCACCTCACGGTGAAACTGGCCGGGCGGGCGACCTGGAGTCTGGGAGGCAGTGCCGCTGTCCCTGCACCTCACGGTGAAACTGGCCGGGCGGGCGACCTGGAGTCTGGGAGGCAGTGCCGCTGTCCCTGCACATCACGGTGAAACTGGCCGGGCGGGTGACCTGGAGCCTGGGAGGCAGTGCCGCTGTCCCTGCACCTCATGGTGATACTGGCCGGGCGGGTGACCTGGAGCCTGGGAGGCAGTGCCGCTGTCCCTGCACCTCACGGTGATACTGGCCGGCCGTGCAGACAGTGAGCGGCAGAACCAGATATGGCCCCGAGACAGACTCCAGAGGCCTCCTCCTGCCCAGGTGCTGCTGTAAGCGTGGGGGCTGTGAGCAGAAGGCGCGGTGCACTCACCTCATCGGACACTTTGAACCTCCGCAGCAGCGCCACCACTTTCTGCTTGAAATTTTGTTGCTGCAAGACAAGCAGTGTAGAGTCAGACCTGCTGCCAGAGTCGCAGACCTGCCACTGGAGCCACTTCCTCAGGCCGCAGGGAGGCCGCACCCAGGCCCGCCGTGGGAAGGCAGCAAGGCCTCAGCACCAGCAGTGCTGATGGATTCGCACGTAGCTCCCAGAAGCTTCCCAACAGGCCTGAGGTCTGACAGTTCCATTCCTGGCCAAGGGGGACCCGGGGAGGTGTGTGCAAACTCCATGGTTCTTCCAGAAACCTCTGCAGCCCTTCCCAGGCTCACGGGGCCCTTCCTTCAGCACCCCTTCCCAGGAAAGTCCCTGGCCAACTCCAGAAGGAAGGTGCTCAGCACCCATGTGGGGTGGGCAGGTGGGTGAGTGTGGGGTAGTGCGTGGTCCAAGAGCCTGAGCCCCATGGATGCCTCGTGCCACCCTGGACTGCAGAACCTTGGCTCCAGCCACTGGGCGAGCGGGACCCTCAGCCACCCTCTCGGGGGCCAACCCTACAAAGGTAGCCCACGCCCTCCCTCCACAGCAGCTGGGCCCAGGGGGCCCTGGAATGGAGGCACAAGCTGGCGTTCTGCACAGTGGGGGCAGATCTCCAGGCCAGCAAGACACAGCTTCACCACTCTGGGGCAGCTCGCCCATCCCCGGCACTGTCTGCCCACAGTACCCCTTGAATGCTGCCAGAGGAGGCGGCGGTGTCTGGGCTGGCCTGTGCCCACATCCCTTGTCAGCACCAGGCACAGGGCTCCCCTGCCACCTGTGCTGGCCTCCCTGGAACCGTGCCTGTCCTTGGGGTGTCCAGGCACCAGGTGGTGGGCCCTCTGTGCCGGTGCTGGACATGGCCTCTGAGAAAAGAGCTGCCCGAGCCTTCCTCATGGAAAAAATGCCTGACAGCCCCACCAAGCTCCTGGGGACCGTGGGGCCAGGTAGGCCAGATCCCAAACAAAAGCGAGGGAACCAGCCCACTCAGGTGTATGTGGGCACCTGAGGGGACGAAGGGGAGGATGGCCTCCCTGGGGCTCTCCAGCCTCCCAGCCTTGCTCAGGGCCCACTGGGCCTAGTGGCCACACAAGGCTGAAGTCATGAGATGTGGTGGGGCGGGGGAGAGAGTGGCACCCAGGAGACTGGCAACCAGGGGGTCTGCCACGGGACATGCTGCTGTGACCTGGGGTGATATCTCACTTCCCACGCCCATGCCCCCCACCACGCCCGGGCTCCTAGCGTCCTCCCCCACCCTCGCCTTCCCCAGCATTCAAAGAAGCAGTCTCCACCAACCCTGGTCATGGACGTCGTTCTTACAATCGATCTCCGCTGCTTCTTCGGCTTCCCGACGTCGAAGTCGTCCTCGTCCAAGTCCTGCAGAGACACATGCAGTGGCTGAGGCCATGGCAGCCTGCACGGCACCGGAAGGACCCTGCCAGCCTCAGCGTGGGCGATGGGAGAGGCCCAGCACTGAGAGCCAACCTGCTTCCCAAGACTCTCAGAGCCACCTGCACACAAACCCGAGCCCCTGGGGTCAGGAGACGAGAGACGGGCGGCCAACCAGGGGCCGGGCCTGTGGCTCACCCACCCTCACGAGGCCCTGGTGACGGCTGGTGAGGACCCCACAGACCCCAGGACACCCGGTGTGAGCCGGGAGAGGGCGCGGAGCCCCGGCCCCAGGTCACCTGCCCCTGCACAGCGTCGTCACTAGCCTCCTGCTCGGAGGAGAAGCTCTCATACTCCTCCTCAGAGTAGTTATCTGCGGAATGAACAGACAGAAGGGAGGGTGCCGTGAGATTCCACCCAGGAAACCAGGCGGTGGCCACCCCCAGGCTTCCCTGGACACAGAGTTGGGGCAGCGAGGAGGTGGATCCATGCAGGACAGAGGGGCTCCAGACACAGGTGCTGTGGCCCCGAGCCCCCAGAGTCCACTGGCAACAGTCTAGGTCGGGGGTGGCAGGAAGTGGGGAGGGCCAGGGAGGGCAAAAGGGGGCCACATGAACTGCTCCAGCCCCCACGGCCGCTCCTACTGGCTGGCATTTCAGCCTGGATTTGCGCCAACTGGGTCCCCCCTGCCTGAGGAGTAGGGGAGGCGCTGGTGACCCTACTGGGGTGGCGGCAGCCGTGGCACCTGCCTATGCTGGGCCCTGCACCCAGACCAGCAAGGGCATCACAGTGCGACCCCACACCTCTTTTTGAGGACACTCAGGACTCAGGCCTCTCGACCAAGGAGCTGCAGCCAGCGGGACAGAGCAGGGACCTGTGGCAGCCCGGGCCCCATAACAGCGCATGCCTCTGCGGTGGCTTCCAGACAGGAGAGCAACTGACTCGTGCTCCAGACCCCCGACTTCTTAAGCCAAGCTGGATGGTTTCTGCCACCCGATGTGCCGTGGCTGGGAGATGGCCTCCCCACGGCAGGGGCAGAAGCAGGCTGGCACCGCACTCACCCGTGGACTTGGCCTTGGGGCCGGCCTGCATGGCGCTGTCCTCGTGGTCAATGGGCTGGCTGGACAGGGAGGCGATCCAGATCTCGGCTGCCTTGACGGGGGCCTCCTTGATGCTGCTGCAGAGGCTCAGCACCTGGCCGCCTTCAGACGGGTGCTGCATCACCTGTAGGCCAGGGGCACGGTTCTAGAAAGCGCCATGACGGGAAGGAGCCCGGTGCCCTGGTGTGTGGGCTGGGGTTTCTGAAGGGCTTTCTCTCTCAGTGACAGCAAGGGCAGGCCTCGGCAGGGCTGCCACAGGGCAGGGAGCATCCAGTGGACAGGAAACGTGGCCACCAGGGAGAGGGGACAGATACGAGAGGTGGACACAGGAGCCAGGTGGACAGACGAGGGGAACATGGGAGTTCTTGTGAACAGGCCATAAGGAGAGGGCATGGGGCTGTGCTGGGGAGGCCAGTGCCAGGCACGGCCATGAGGGACTGAGATGGACAGAGAGAGGTGTCTGCGGCCCTCCTGATCTCAGGCACACCTGCTGTCCACACAAAGCCACCCAGGAAGATCCTGGGCCCCCTGCTTCAACTCTGCCTCCACCCCTCCACCCACTCAAGACCTCAGCAGCAGCAAAACAGTGTGAAACCGGCCGTGCAACCCACAGGAGTCAATGCCACAGGAGTCAATGCCCAGGGACCAGTGTCTGTGGGGGACCAAGGAGGAGCAGCCGGAGCACTCTCAGCCAGGCAGGAATCTCCAACAGCAGGAGACACCCACCAGGCCTGGCTCACAGGCCAGGCCAAGCCCCTCTGTTGTGAGAGACTCAAACCAGGGAGTGGCAGAACAAGCCCCGGCCCCTCCTGCAGCCACGACCCGCACCTAGGCATGGCCCCGCCGTGCCCCATGCCAGCCTCAGAACCACACGCCACGATGACAGCTCTCAGACACTCACAGCCTTGGGGCCATCTGTGCTCTAGAAGCCGCCTTTTGGGACTATTGGTTCACATCCAGATGTTAGGATTTTCTAGACCAGATTTATTTATTTATTATTTTTTTGAGACGGAGTCTCACTCTGTGGCCCAGGCTAGAGTACAATGGCGTGATCTTGGCTCACTGCAACCTCCGCCTCCTGGGTTCAAGCGATTCTCCTGCCCCAGCTTCCTGAGTACCTGGGATTGCCGGCGTCTGCCAGAACGCCCAGCTAAGTTTTGTATTTTTAGTAGAAACAGGGTTTTACCACGTTGGTCAGGATGGTCTCAAACTCCTGACCTCAAACGATCTGCCCGCCTCGGCCTCCCAAAGTGCTGGGATTACAGGCGTGAGCCACCACACCCGGCCGACCAGATTTATTTTTATTGTGGGGTCCTGATTTGGGCTGCTAATTCTTCAATTAATCAAAGTAAAAAAATGTTTGAAAGTTTACATTTGCCCTCACCTTCATTTCAGAAAATTACGAAGGGCAGCTGGCAGCTTCTGCCAACACTCGCACCCACTGCTGATGCCCTTGTGCCCACACACTCGCCGGGGCACATGCAGCCTCACGCACTTGGAGGCTGCTGTTGTCCAGGCCCCCAGCACCCTGAGTCGCCTTCTCAGAGTGACGTCTCACGCGGCAGGGTCTCAGTGTCACGCAGGGGTGAGAACCCGTAAGCTCAGAAGCCCTCGTTCAGAAACGCTGAGCCCTTGCTGGGCATCCCAATACAATGAGCTCAGTGGGGAGGGGACTGCTGGGCTGGGGTCCCGGAGGAATCAAGTGGGGCTCAGGCGGCGCTACACCTGCTCACACCAACTTCCACGGGGCTCAGAGGGGTCCGGGCCCTTTTCCTCCCAAGAAAACCCTGCTCACTTCCTCCTTCAGATGGGAGGGCAGAAAGGAACGGGGCCTCTTGACAAAGATGCTTTTGCCGGGATTCCTGCAGCAGCTGTAATGGGAATGCTCTGCTGGGCCCGTAGTGGGCCAGGGGCAGGTTGTGGAGTAGCCCCCGCTCCTCTCAGCCTGTCATCGACCTTTATGTGAACACTATTTTGATATCTGCATGCCCTGGAAGTCCCAGGCCCCACGCTCCGGGCTGCACGTTCCCCTCCTCCTGACAGTGCTCCTTGATGTGTGCGTCCTCCTGGCAAGGGGCCAACCACCCTTGAGCTGGGCACTCCCCAGGGGTGATGCTGGCTGGCAGGCAGGTCACTGTCCTGGACTGTGGTCATTCCCACTCCTGCCCCTGCTGACCCTGAGACCACCCTCCTGGGTTAGTCCAGCAGATGCTCTGTGGATGCTCAGTGATCCTCAGCAAAGGGCTGGAGCTGCCTCACCAAGGAGGGTGGCCTCAGGGCCCAGCTCCCTCTGCCCCTGACCCTGACAGGCTCCTTCCTCTTCCATTTTCAAATAGATTTGAGTGACATGGAAAATTGAGGCCGGACACAATGGCTCACACCTGTAATCCTAGCAGCACTTTGGGAGGTCTAGGCAGGTGGATGGCTTGAGCTCAGGAGTTTGAGACCAGCCTGGGCAACACGGCGAAACTGTCTCTACCAAAAAGTATAAAAAATTAGTCAGGCATGGTGGCGTGCACCTGTAGTCCCGCTACTTGGGGACTGAGATGGGAGGATTGCTTGGGCCCAGGGGCTTGAAGCTGCAGCGAGCCAAGATCACACCACTGCACTCCAGCCTGGGTGACAAAGACCCTGACTCAAAAATAAATAAATAAATAAATAAATAAAATTGCTCAGGATGTCACACTTAATTGTACAAATAGTATAATAAAAATTTTGTGAAAACAAGTAGTCATGCACCATGTAATGACAGAGGTATGTCCTGAGACATGCATGGTGAGGAGACCTCATCATCTTGCCAACATCACAGCATGCAAGCCTGGGTGGTGCCGCCTACCACGCACCCACGCTGCAGCCCTCGCTCCACTGTGCTCTGCCTTACTGCACTTTGCAGATCTTTTGTTTCTCACAGTGAAGGCTTTTGGCAACCCCGCACCAAACAAGTCCAACGGCGCCACTTTTCCAACCGCAGGTGCTCACTTTGTGTCTCCGTGTCACATTTTGGTAATTCTCCCAATATTTCAAAACTCTATTATTAAATCTGTATGGTGATCTGTGATCCGTGAGCTAAGGTGTGACTGCTGCAATTGCTCTGGGGCACCACGAACATCACCCACGTAAGACGGGGAACTGAATCAGTGGATGTGAGCATTCTGGCTGCTCAGCCCACCGGCCATCCCCCGTGTCTCTGTCTCTCCTCGGGCCTCTCTCTTCCGAGACACAACAATATGGAAATTAGGCCAATTACTAACTCTACAATGGCCCCTAAGTGTTCAAGTGAAAGGAAAGGTTGCACATCCCTTTCAACGAGAACCTAGAAATGACTGAGCTTAGTGAGGAAGGCACGTCAGAGGCCAGACGGTGAAGGCGAGGCCTCTTATACTAAATCACCAAGCAGTGAATGCAAAGAGAAAGTTCCTGAGGGAAGGAAAAGTGCTGCTCCAGTGAACACAGGAGTGAGAATCAGCAAAGCAGCAGCCTCAGTGCTGATGTGGACAGAGTGAGTGGCCGGGATGGAAGATGGAACCAGACAACACTCCCTTAAGCCAAAGCCTCATCTGGAGCAAGGCCCTGACTCCCTTCACCTCTGTGAAGGCTGAGAGGCAAGGAGTGTGTGGAAGAAGCTTGGAGCTGGCAGAAGTTGGTTCATGAGGTTTTAGGAAAGCAGCCATCTCCATAACATAGAAATGCAACGTGAAGCGCCAAGTTTTGATGGAGAAGCTGCAGCGAGTTCTCCAGAAGATCCAGCTCAGATCATCGACGAAGGTGGCTACACTAAACAACAGATTTCAACGTAGAAGACACAGCCTTCCACTGGAAAAAGATGCCATCTAGGACTTTCATAGCTAGAGAGGAGAAGTTGATTAGCCACCACACCCGGCTCATTCTCTTTTTTTGAGACGGATTCTCACTCTTCTTGCCCAGGCTGGAGTGCAATGGCGCGATCTCAGCTCACTACAACCTCCACTTCCCAGGTTCAAGCAATTCTGCCTCAGCCTCCTGAGTAGCTGGGACTTCAGGTGCCTGCCTTGCCACCACGCTCCACCAATTTTTTTTTTTTTTTTTTTTTTTTTGAGGCGAAGTCTCACTCTTGACACCCAGGCTAGAGTGCAATGTCACGATCTCAGCTCACTGCAACCTCCGCCTCCTGGGTTCAAGCAATTCTCCCGCCTCAGCCTCCTGAGTAGCTAGAATTACAGGCATGTGGCACCATGCCCAGCTAATTTTGTGTTTTTAGTAGAGACGGGGTTTCTCCATGTTGGTCAGGCTGGTCTCGAGCTCCTGAACTCAGGTGATCCGCCCACCTCAGCCTCCCAAAGTGCTGAGATTACAGGCGTGAGCCATCACGCCCAGCCCACTAATTTTTTTAATGTTTTGAGATGGAGTCTCACTCTTATTGCCCAGGCTGGAATGCATTAGTGTAATCTCAGCTCACTGCAACTTCCGCCTCCTGGGTTCAACTGATTCTCCTGCCTCAGCCTCCTGAGTAGCTGGGATTACAGGCGCCCACCACCATGCCTGGCTAATTTTTGTACTTTTAGTACAAAATTAGAGACAGGGTTTCACCATGTTGGCCAGGCTGGTCTCAAACTCCTGACCTCAGGTAATCCGCCTGCCTTGGCCTCCCAAATGATGGGATTACAGGTGTGAGCTACTGTGCCCAGCCTTTTCTCTGTGTGTGTGTGTGTGTGTGTGTGTGTGTGTTTTTAGCAGAGACAGCGTTTCACCATATTGGCCAGGCTGGTTTAGAACTCCTGAACTCAAATGATCTGCCCAGCTTGGCCTCCCAAAGTGCTGTGATTACAGGCGTGAAACAGGGCACCTGGCCTGGATTCACCATTCTTGATGCCATGAAGAACATTTGTGATTCATGGGAAGAGGCTGAGATATCAACATTGACAGGAATTTGGGAGAAGAGGATTCCAACTCTCTCATGGATGGCTTTGAGGGGTTCAAGGCTTCAGTGTAAGAAGGAACTACACATGTGACGGAAATAGCAAGAGAACTGGAATTAGAAGCAGAGCCTGAGGATGTGACCGAATTGCTGCAGTCTCACGAAGAAACTTCAGCTGATAAGAAGCGGCTTCTTATGGATGAGCAATGAAAGTGCTTTATTATTATTTT